TTTTTAATAAAATATAAAAATAAAAGTAAAATTATACCTGTATCAACTTGTTATTCACATTCATTTGATGTAACATTAACTCTCTCCATTTCTATAATATGTAAAAGAAAAATATTGTTATAAATAACATTAAAAGAAAATATTATATTAAAAATTATAAAAAAAATAATATCACTCTTCTTCACAATTAGATGATAATATAAATATTAATTTAAAAATATAAAAAATATCTAATATACTATTCACCTACAGTAACTAATAGTAAAATAGGATAACAAACTTTGATAGCTTATAGAAATTAATCTGGAGGAAAAAGCAACTAGATATCCTACTTTTTGTTTTTTGTTTTTTTTTTTCGGTATTCCTTTTTCTAGCCCCAACAAGTTCCTCTTCCCCTTAAAAAAATAAAACATTGCCTTTCCTTTCTCCCTCTAATCCTTCTCACCCAGCCCTAACTGATTCCCCTCTTAAAATCAACCAAAAAACCATCCGAAAATTTGCCTCTCTAACCGACTGCCCTCTCCAATGCACTCTTGGTTGGTTGCTCTCTTCCTCTTTTCCAAAATTTGTGCAATCCTCACCCAAGTCAGCCAGCCCCATCGGTCACCACTTTAAATTAAATCCCCCAAATCCCATTTTAAGATTTGCCCCTCTACAATCCCTTGAACCTAAATCTGGAAAATACTCTAAACCCATAGATCGATCACCATCAAATTCTCTGAATTCAAAATCATAGAGTAAAAACAAAAGGGATGAACAAAAGGAGCCTTATTTGGGAGCAAAGTCATCGCCAGAGACAACAATGTTGGTTTTAGAAAAAAAAAGAATTATAAGGAGAGATCGACTACAGGGATGATTTGTCATCTAGGTGACCTAAAATCATTTTTTCTATAAATGCATGACTTATTTTATTGTTAAATTGTTAAATGGTTGGTTGCAATCTTAAAAACTTGACGGAATATGTCTAGCATACCTGTTGTTGCTTTATCCTCTCTCGAACTTTGTTAGCCTCTTCTTAGTTGATGTAGTTATAATTAGAATTCAACTTGTTCTTTATATATTAGTTAAGAGGATAAGTCTGGAAGATAATCTAATAGCGTTTAAAAAGAATTGAAATGGGCAAGTTAACATTTCTATTGGTCGAGGAGAAAAAAAAATGCTATTTAACTTTTTTTTTATCAGAGTATTTGTGATAAATTTTAATTATTTAAATAGAAAAATCGAATAAAATAAACTTTAAAAAAAATCAGATTTTAAATTAAAATTTAATAATTTAAAATGAAAACATAAATACCCATTAGCTTTTTATTATCGATTTTTGAAGAATTTTGGGTTTCAAAATCAGCTTCTTCCCATCGTTCCTTGAAGAAAATTGTGGT